TATGGGTACCTATGTATAGAAATCATATGCTCGATATTTCAACTTTCATTTCGAGCAGGTGTGCAAACAAGAGTATGCTCACCCAATCCGTTTGTCCACACCTCAAAATGCACAAAAAAAGAAAAAAAAAAAAAAAAAAAACAAACGACAAAAAACATTAAGCTAAGCAGTGATTGGCACTAGGTATCTAGCGAGAGTAGGTAGGTAGGTAATTGTGTATCATCATCCCGTCTCATTACCAGATCCACACCACAAACCAGATATTTTGAGATCACATCAATATTTAGGTACCTAGGTACCTAGCTATAGCTAGCTGGTGAATGAATGTATGTATGTATAAACAAACGAATAGCTAATCCTATCCTCTCGCTCTCTTTCCTCTATCTAACCTCATGATTGCGAATAAGTAACGCCTACCATATAGCTAGTGAACTCCTTATATATTTACTGAAAAGTTCCTCTTATGCAAATCGACCATTGCTAAATCCTGAATTGGCTGTTTCCAATTAAATAACGAGAAGAATATCATATTTGAATACTAAGCTCTTACGACAAACTTCTGCAATTGAGTACGTATTATGATGTGGGATGTTATTCCGATGAGATGTTTGTAGTAAGAGCTACATACATGGCATCCAGACACTTGATTGAAATGTCGTTGTAATTAAACGAGTGGGAAGTAATAGGAGTCAACAGTAGGAGAATTTTCATTTACCTAAGTAATATGATCTATCCCGCAAGGCATGAGTAGTTAAGCTTTCGTCTCTTTTCCGTAGAGAAAGAAGGAGACTAATATGATAGGTAATCTCATTCTGAAGAACTACTCGAATCAGGCGAAAAGAAAAGATGGTGAAGACTGAATATGAAGGAATAGTGCAAACATCAATCTCGGTTCTCAAAAATCAAAAATTCATCACCAATTCCATCTCCATCCCCATCTTCAACATTCATGCACCGTGTGAATATCTCCAACCCCAAATGATCTTTCCCAGATATCATGACCTAGGTATCATGACCTATCACGACCACACTCACTAATCAAACCAAGCCCTCACACCGCCAGGACATACACACCAAACCACTCGGAATACTGCCCACTCGAAGCCATGCACCTTTCCGTCTCCGTACTGCAACGAGGTAGATAGATAGGTAGGTATTGGCTACAAACACACCAGACGATGGACTCAACATCTTCGGGCCCAGAACGACAAATCATCAGAGGAATAAAAGCACTAGCGTGATCACCTCTGCAGGTACTGTACTACTCGTATGTATGTAGGTATGTAAGGCATCGAGTCTCGTCTCATCTCCACCGCTATTGGACGATTCATATTCCAACGTTCAAGTACCAGGTAGCTATCTACTTTTCGTTTGCCGAGTTCGGGGTTGTGTGATGGGATGTTGATTTGTGAATGTGATTCGACGGGTTTGCAATTTAAGGTTACCTACCTACCTGTCTATCTACCAGCCGGGTATTTTAAGGTCCGAATTTGGGTTTCCGAAGCCCATGCATCTTCGTGTCTCGAGTCTTACAAGAGTTCACCAGGTTCCAGAGTTCTAACACATTGTCGGTCTATGTATAGAAATCGAGAGGATAATTTATGGAAGTGCGGTAGGTCCTCTGTGTAGTGATTTGATTACCCGACTTGCCGAAGAAACGAGACACTGCGTAATGGGTGGGGGATGTGGTTCGCTCTATGGTTGTTTCAAGCATCGGAAAACTTCATCCACAAGAACAGCCAGCCAGCCAGACAGACGGACAGACACGTGGAATCTGAATTCTAAAGGAAAGGAAAAGAAAGACCGATGGAGAGTCCGAAGAAAGTGTGGTTCTCACAATCTAGACTCATCGTTACCATTTCCGGTGAAAATAATTTTCTCATTCGAGGTAAGGTACCCCTCGTTCCAAGAGTCGTTCGTGTTCTTCCGGATAACATGCTAACATAACAAAACAACATGCTAACCGTTATTAATCGAGTCTACTTGTGCAGTGCAGTGCGTAATATGAGCGGTCAAGAAAGATAGAGGAATATCTTATCGATAAGCCGAGAATGATACAAACTCACACTCCGGAGTATGTCGCGCTTTCACATGTGGTGTTGTGGAAACCCATGCATCATGAGTACGTCGTCACTCTTTTCCTGACGTGGATAGCATAGGATTGCATGTATGGAGATTTTTTGACACACAGAAGTTTGCTGGACTAAGTACTTCACGACACATACTCGTTTCTCTGTATTATAAGTTGTGATTTATGCGGGGGTTCTAACAACGAAATATAACAAATTGGAAGGAAGAATGCATATATGATATAGGTAACATATGCATCAAGATGGAAAGATTGAAAGGTTGTGCCAAATTCTACTAGTGATATTGTAATCTTACCTGTTCGTGTTTTTGGTTAGCAAAGATGTTGCCATAGATAGGTAGTTCCGTATCGAAATGCTTTTAAATGACCTCCTCTCTCCCCTTCAAGGTTAATCATCAAAACATGTGAAGATATCCACAACTTATTGCTTACAGCGCAGTGTATATTTTCTTCCCGTTCAGCCACAACGGGGAAGGAGGGGGAGAATGTTGAGGGATGGTTGCACATCAAGACGAAGCGCATTCAGTTTCTTCCTTTTGGGTTTATGATTGGGTATTAATATCACCTCATCAAGTTTTTGTTAGTGATGGAAACCCAATACCAATACATTTCTCTTCTCTGTACCCAATCTTTCCCCAACACAAACACAGTCATTTTCTTGGAGACATGTGGAAATGAGAGGGAGAAGGGTGATGAATGGATGGATGATGGATGGTATCTTACACACCTACCTAGGGAAGAATATGAATGAAGCGGCTCAAGAAATCCGGATAAGGTTAGAGAGATAACATGTATGAATGAATGATAGGTCCGAATACATTGATTGATATAGCCATTCGCTACCTACCGGGGATAGATCTGACGATAAAAATAGGCAAAAGGCACAAGTGTCTATTCTCTCAAGTGATTCGAGTCAGACCGAATATGGTTGCCATGCCTGGGTTATGTGATAGTATGTGATAGCTCTAACATGATATCCATCTATCGGAATCGAAGGGGATAAATGTCAAATCCCAACCGATCTCGATGGAGCTGTAACATCACATCACATCCCATATCATGTGATTTCAGTTCAACGGTCTATCTGCTTTGTTTCGTATGCCACTTTGATTCGTAAATATAAATAGAGCAAGGTGACTTACGGAGTACTATGCAGGTAAATACTGGGAAATATATGTAACCATACCAAGTTCACTAATGATCTCTCTGTATCGGTCTGGCTGGATGAAAAGGAAACGAGAGGGGGGTGCGCTGTCAAAGTCAAAGTAAAAGTTAAACTTAATAATACATCAATGACTACTCGTACCTACCTAGTCAGATAGCTAATGGACTTTGATTTGATAGCTCGAGTGGATGATATGGATGATAGGTAATTATGGTATGGATGGTTTGGATGAGTTGGATGAGTAATCTAAAGAGTAGAATGAACCAATCGGAGACAGATATCATTTCAATCCTATTTATCCCATCCCACCTTACAGCCAACATGGGAAAATTACCCCTCCATCATTGAAAAATCGTTTGTGAGGGAGTTCGATATGATATATATGTTAATTGTGAGTAGTGGATGAACAAATATATACATACGGCTGATTGACCTTTCAAAGTAGTCCCATAGCAAAATAATCCCATAGCTACCTAGTTATTGTCATTTTAGATTCAAATATATACTTTCATATATAATCTGAATGTGATGTTTTGTATATGATAAACTAACACTCAGACCTACTGCGAAAGATGCAGCATATAGTACATCGTTACATGATTTCCAAGGTTACTCTTTATATATGAATAGAAAGTACATACTCCATACTGCATATGTACTTACACGACGCTCCGCTTGGCCACTGTCGTGGAGGCTTCTTCGCTTCGCTCTATTGGAGAGAGAAAAGGAAAGGGGAGGAGAGGACAGAAAAGAAGAAGCTTTCATGTGTGATGGATGATGGTAACAATAGTATCTACTCTAAGCTGATTAGACCAAGAAACTTGTAACTTTCGAGTTCTATATGTTCTTATTTACTATTATAGATTCCCTCTTCTCACTCTATTGTATTTGTTAATCGAAGTATACAAGTCTAGACAAAGTAAGACGAGAATAGCTGGTCACTTATTCTTACCTAGATAGTATTCTCTGATGGTCCACCGGTAGTATCATATTCTCTCCCATGCCTCGTTCACATTGGCCCTCCCTCTTCTAATTCGATATCAATGCCAATATCAAAACGTCCACCGCTTCATAAATGCAGCAAGCAGACAGACTAGATAACTTTGCAGTAAGCATGCATAGGTACATATACATATACATATACATACATACATATATACATACAATGTACACACATACACACATACACACATACATACATATACCTACCTACCTACATACACAATATACGGTATGTAACAAACCTAGCTCGCCTAATCTGTATACACACATGATTCAGAATAAACCACCCAACAACCAAGTCATCTTTTACCGCATTGCGTTGGATCATTGAAAAATGTATGTCCATCACCTATCATTCATCTATCCCTCGCCCATCCATCAGCCAATCCGTCACCTATCACTTCACCATCTTTTGCATGAAGAGTGTCCTAGTCCCTGCACCAGATGCCCTAGTCCTAGTCCTTCCCGTACCTAGTCGTCTTATGTGATTAGTTCACACACACAACCTTACCCCTCCAAAAATTCAATCTAACCAGTAGTTTCCCGAGGGTCGCCGCATTTCGCATTTTTCGCATATTCCTATTAAAGATTTTTTGATTTTTTTTTTTCCTTTCGAGTTAAATCCAATTTCTTGCTTGGTACCTAGGTCCGTATTATTATTCTATTATACCCAACCAAAATACATCACGTACCATCCTCTTTTTTCCCTTTCCCTTTTTTTGCTTTCTCTCTTCTCTCTTCACCATGTCGACTTCCCCACAATCCCCAGAGTCAAATCAACCACTTCCCAACGCCCATCCTACTGAAGAAATCCACGATGCCTCCCAGAGACGAGAGTCCGAGTCCACCACCCGTTCCACCGAACTCTCCAGCGTCACCTTAAAATTACGCAAGGCCCTGCGAAACTTCCCCGACTTTCCCATCCCCGGCATCGATTTCGTCGATATCTTGCCGCTCTTTGCCAACCACGATCTTCACGAATCTTTAATCCGCGCGCTCGAATTGCAAGTCTTGTTGGTGAATGGAGGAAAGAAGCCAGATGTGGTTGTGGGTTTGGATGCCAGAGGATTCTTGTTTGGTCCCTCGCTGGCTTTGAGATTAGGGGCTGGATTTGCTCCCGTCAGAAAGAGAGGAAAGTTGCCGGGTCCAACGGAAGAGGCAAGCTTCGAGAAGGAGTATGGTCAGGATTATTTCCAAATTCAGAAGGATGCTATCAAACCAGGACAATCAGTTTTGGTTGTAGATGATATCATTGCTACTGGTAAGATTTATCTGATCGATCGATCAATCACTCACCCACAAGAATTTACACAGGCTGGTGGAATGAGTGTTCTTGACGAACATAAATATGAATATATATACTAATATTTCATTCTAGGAGGAAGTGCCCAAGCTGCCGGAAAACTTGTCCAACAGCTCGGTGGACACTGTATGGGATATTTATTTATTTTGGAATTGGATTTCTTGAAAGGACGTGACAAACTTTCCGCTCCCGTCGCAACATTATTACGCGATTAAATACTCATCAGGGAGTGGGAATCAAAAGTCACAAAACATGTTGTTGGGCGTTGGTTGAGGGTACCAGGTATATTCATCACATAGACAGCATTGCATTATACATGACGAGGGGGATTGCTTGCACGAGGAGGTTAACCAGAGGGGGAAATGGTTTCTTTACGAAAGGGAGGACTTTTGCATACGAGTGCCGGATATCTTTATCTTGGGTTTGATACTCCATCAGCGGAGAGTGTTCAGCGAAGATAAGAGTAGGGATATTGACTTTGGATCAAATAATATCTTGATATCGATTTGGATAATTTTTGGATTTGGGATGGACGGATGAATGGATGGATGAATGGGAACAGAACAAAACAGAAATATGGCCAAATCCAATGCGAAACTCTACATTCAATCCAAGTCATCTATCTTACCTTAGCATACAATATCATATATATCATCTATGAGCATCTATCAATCCATACATTCACATATTCACATGTGTATACCTATTTTCAGATAACTTCAAAGCCACACCTATGAATCCAAGTATCACCTGTGACTTCTTCCTATTCTTCCCCTTCCCTTTCCTCTGATCCCGTCATGTCTTCTCTGCCACCCACCTAGTATATCTACACAGTCTCGCGTGCCATCCCATCCACCCCTCGAAAGATGTAATCTTATAAGATGCCACCACCGAACCCACAACATTAACACACCAGACAACACACACACAAATCACGTACCCCATCCTTCTCATCCCAATTTCCCAATTTCCCAATCTTCCCAAAAATCCATTTTGTCACAAAGAATTCATGTAATCACATCATATCACCAGGCTTCATCCCACTTCACATTTCTCTCACGGTTCACCCCTCCAAAATCCCACTTTTTTTCTTCATTTTGTCTAGTACGAGTACTTCGTAGCTGGAGACTCAAAAGTAAGCTCAAGCCATCCACCCACCCATCCACCCATCAAATCAATCAAATCAATGCATCCATCCATCAAGCAAGCTCTCACCGATAAGGAAATCCAACCCAAATAAACTTCGTCCTAAAGAATTCCCCTACATGCCGACGGAGCACTCTCGAGATACTCGAATCCCAGCTTGATTGTGATTGGGCAGATGGCGCACCCTTCCTTGGTAAATAAACAAATCAAATAAATAATCCACCCCGGCTGCGGCGCCAGCCTTGTTGAAATAATTTCTCTCTTTCGGTGAGGAGGGTGAGTGAAGATGGAGAGAGGAGTGGGAGAAGAACTTTACGGAGTACTTTCACTCCCTCCATCTAATTAATAAGGTTCCGTTATATATTACCACCTTGAGAAAATATTTCTCTCCTTACGGTTATTTCGGTTTTGGTCTGCAATCTGCGATTTGTGTCTAAGATCAAGGGTATATACATATACACATACATAAATTTCAAATTTCAAGAACTTTTCTCTGCGCATACATAAAGGTTCTCTGCTTCCTTTTGGCTTGGTTTGTATTGTTTGCTTGTTTGTTTGTATTGTTTCTTTCCTATCGTATACGAAAGTTGGATTCGGATTCGATAATACAATATACAGTTACGACTACCGTCTCAATTGTAACTTCTCACGATACACATACATACACATACATACATCCATATACATACAACACACCGATACAAACTTCATCAATCCACTCTTGCATTCAGGAGGATCGATTTCGGATCTCGATAGACTGACTTTCCTTCCGATCCAACACATTCAGTCTGATACATCCAATACTGATACCCTACCCATCTCATGGAATAACCTGCAAGAAAGAAATAAATAAATGCCTTCCTTCTTCACCTTCGACCAGGGACGCGACCGCTTCCAAACCGAATCTTCTCCCCTGCTGGGTCGCTTCCGCGCAGTGCCAAATGCGTATACCACGAATGGGCGCACGCGCAGGAAATCTCTCTTAGGGTTTTCGATCGATGGGTTTGGCGGCGCGTTTGGAGGCAGAGATGAGGGGGATGAGGGAGGAGTAGATGGATATTATTGTGATGGGGATGAGGAGGAGGAGGGGGGTGTGTATGGGTGGAGAGGGAGGGTGAGGAAATGGGGAGGAGAGTTTAGGGATACGTGGATAGAGCCGAAGCAGAGGAGTGTGGCGGGGTGCGTGGAGAGGTGGTGGTGGAGGTGGGGGGTTTTGGTTGGGGCGCCGAGTGCTTTGGTGAGTGAGATGGAGGGGGTTTTTTTTGGTTTTTTGGGTTTAGAGACTGGAATAAGGATGTATATGCGGTGGAGATTGGAGGGGATAAAATTTTGGTTTATGAGAGGATCTTTATGGGCGCAAGATTTGATGGATGAGGCAATGCTTCTAGGCCAATGTTCTTACGGTTCTTGATATCCCATCTTCTAATTTTCTACCTATGCTGTAGTGGCTTGGGTCGGTAAAGAAAGATGGTGATACAATGAGTGGGAATTCCTCAATGTCAAAACCTTTCTGCTTTTGTTATCCCGCACTATACTATTCTGCACCTAAGCCAATGTCTTTGTTGGGTAAATGATTATGGGGGCTAGCCCCCAAACCCCCATAGCTCGCTGCGCTCGAGAGTTTCCTTATAATATGCTAGTCGGCCTCCACGGCAGTGGCTCCCGGAGGGCCAGCGGAGCGTCATGCGGAAAAGCTGTCATGTTTTATTTGTGTATTTCTTAAAAAGTTACGAATGTACAGATATATTGAAGAGCTTTACTAATCATTCGAGAATACTAGGCTGTTGCATGGTGTGCGCTACCATTTCCACAATACGAATTTCCAGATGACGACAACATAGTGGATTCACCATTAGCCATCTTTGGACACAAGATACCAGGTCACGGAGAAGCTAGAGTTGAAATTAACTTTTGGTTCTTTCTATTCGTATATTATGGTTTCTATAATATAACAGCATTAATGTGGATTACGAAAGTCTTCAACATTTATTCGCTGAATTGGTATGTTTCAGCTTCTTGGAGTTGATCTTTATATACACTAACATATACTAGGTGGCCTAAAAGTCTTGGGTTTCCCCTCACAGTCTCTATTATTGCCGCAATGTCAATAGCAGCTCCAATACCTTTTTATTGTATACCCGAACTTCGATATATCACATCACACAACACAGCGTGGATATGCTGGACATTCTTCGCCATGGCAATGCCATTATTAGTTGCTTTTGCTATCCTCCTTAATCATGAACGACATCTCGGTTTACGTAATCCTCTTTCGGAAACTCAACGACTTTTTACTTCTTCATGGTGGACAGGTGATAGCGATACAATAAATGCAAGAGATCGACCACGAAGAGCAAATGTTATTCGAAGTCACAGTACTTTTGATCCAAATACTTCTTTAGAGGTGGCTTTAGCATCAGATGATATTTATCGATCAAGAGATGCTCAACTTATGTTGAGAAAACGTTGGTTGCCAGCAAGTTTTGTGAGATTTATGTGGTTTTGCTCGGCTCTACTAATAGCTATATTGACTTACCTACTGGGAGAAACTTATGCAGAGATATATTTGCGAACACTACCACATAGCACGATTGAAACGCTTGTATATGTTTATAGTTGGGTTGTGACGGTTCATCTATTGGATGGATTATGTGGGTGGATTTTAGGGGGTAACGAGGGAGAAAGAGTAGACAGTTACCCCCTTGGTTGGATTTTTAAACTGTAAGATTCCCTAATTCGTAAATTTCCTCGGAAAATTACTAACATGATCCCTAAGCTACTTCGCTCTCACCTACCAAACTTACGTCCGCGCTTTATATGCTCGTCTTCGATCACCACAACAATTCATCTATCTCCAAATAATGTCCTCTTCATTCTTGATTCTCCTCGCCCCACTTACAATATCCGCACCCTTTCATTCGTTCCTCGCACTTCTCGGATTGAATGGTCAATCATATACCGCATATCAAAAATTTTGCACTCGAAACATCTTCCTCCGCGGCTTGACCGAAAATGTCTCAATGCTTACTTTCCTAGGAAGTATCTTAGTCCTCCACTACGGCGCTAACAAAGACGTTTACCCCTATTTCGCTTTCGATACTCCAATCACTCCACCAACAAACCAAACCCTCTCTTCTATCACCCACAAATTCTTCCCTTCCATCCCACACCTTCCTCATCATCTCCCCGCCTCGGACTCCCCTCCATTAAACGCACCCCCGCAATACGATTTCCGCCTCACGTTCTACGCGTCGGTTGTGACGTGGGGATGTGAAATTGTCGCGGGCTGGATCACGAGGAGAATTCTTTGGTGGGGATGGAAAATTAATGCGACGGCGGAGGGGAAGAGAGATTTGGCCGCGTGGCCGGAATTGTTGCCGACGGGTGTGGTGGTTATGGTGCATGTGTTGCAGAATATGCTGTTTAGTATTGTGAGGTTGGAGTTTCATTAGGGGGTGGGGGTGTAGGAGAATAGGGGAGGGGAGGAGAGAGGAGAGGAGAGGTCGTTGGATATGATTATGAATGAATGAATGCATTTTCGCTTTTTGGTGTTTGAGCAGGGTGTTGGTTGGATTGTTTGCTTTATTTGTGTCTTATTGTTTTTGTTTGTTGTTTTTGGGTCTTTTCTTTTCGTTCTTTTTCCCTTTCTTTCTCTAATTGACATACCCTCCTCGAAGTGCATTGCATTGCATTCTATTGCATTGCGTCATATCTCTCTCTTTTGAAAATAAAATTCTCGTTTCTCGTTTCGCGTTCCGAGATACCACTTACTTATTCGTACATAGTTTAGTTTAGTATCGATTAGTTTAGTTTAGATTAGATTAGTTTAATATATGATGAAGAAATGAAGGAATGAAGGAATGAAAGACTGGCGGATAAATGATGGAATGATGGAGATTATGGAATTATGGAAATAAAATGTTATTGCGCATGGGAAATTCGAAAGGAGAAATTAGAGATTAGAGAGGTTGTTTTGTTTTGGAGAGGAAGGAGGAAGGATGGAGGGGAAAATGGTGGAGTTATTGAGGAGGAATGGAGGAGGAATGGACAAGTTAGAAGGGATGGATAATGCGAGGGAGAGGAGAGGGAGAGGGAGAGGGAGAGGGAGAGGATAGGGAGAGGGAGAGGGCGAGGGAGATGAGAGGGAAGGGAGAAGGGAGATGGAGAGGGAGCGGGGGGGAGGTGGGGTGAGGGTGGGGGGGCTGTGGACGTAGGCGAGGCTTATAGGTGCGGGATCCTCCGAGTTTGCTGTATTTTCCTCACTTTCCGGCCGTTTTTCCCTCCTTCGGAGACAGTCCTTATGGTTAATTTGATCTGTTTTTGGTGAAAGATGAGTAAATGAATATACATCCTCATTACAATTACAATTACAATTACAATTACAATTACAATTACAATTACAATTACCATTACAATTACAATTACAATTACAATTCAATTACAATTACAATTACAATACAATTCAATTACAATTACAATTACAATTACAATTACATCCGCATCCACATCCACATCTATCATCAATCCATCCAACTATCCATCCAACTATCCATCCAACTATCCATCCAACTATCATCCAACTATCCATCCAACTATTCATTCAATTATTAATATACCTATATATACATCTGACTAAACATCTAAACAAAATTATTATAAGCATAATATTAAAACTATATAATTCTATTATATTTATTATTATACAACTTTAAAGATATATATATAATGATATAAAATGATGATATAAAATGATGATGTGAAATGATGATGTGAAATGATAATATAAAATGATAGTATGAAATGATGATGTGAAATGATGATATAGTATGATATGGCATAGTACAGCATGGCATAGCATGACAGAGTTTACAGAGCTTGCAGGTAGGAATATATAGCTCAAATCGATATTCAAATCAAAATCAAAATCATCACATCATCACATCACATCATATCACATCATCATATAACGCCTACCTACATACCTACCTACCTACCTAAATACTTAGATACATATCACATAATAAGATGGCAACCGAGAAAATCCCACGCTACTTATCTTCGCTTATATTTGTGATGTTACTGTATATACAGTATATACGTTAGAGAAGCGAGGTAGATGGATGGGTGGGTGAGTATCTCATATTGAATGTTGAATGTTAAACTCTTCATTTGAGGGAAAGGAGAGTGTAATGCTCATCTCTTGATGTATAGGTATGCATGGTACATATTCTAAATGTGCTACTTTGGAATCACATACATAGATACATACATCGCTTTTTATCATTTCTGACCTCTCATCTCTCATTCATCTCCCATCTGTCATCTATAATCCTAAATTTAAGCTCTTCTTTCTCTCATCTCTATATTCTCATTTCCCATCTCTCATCTCCCCCAACCTCAACCTCAACCTACTCCTCAAATCACCTAATCAAACTCCCTCTTCTCTCCCAACTTCCCCCACCCTTCCAATACATCCCTATCAACATTACTCGCAAATTCCCTCTCGAAAATCTCTTCTCCCCCACAAACCCTCACCACCTCCCTCAATCTCGCCTTTACAAATTCCCACGCATTAACCCTATGAACCGGATCCACCATATTCCATTCCCTCTTCCTCTTATCTTCCTGAGTCTCACCCTCATATACTTGTTGTTCTCCCCATATCAAATTATCTCCTCCAATATCATCTCTTCCCGCCATCATCTCACTGATAACACTCGTCCACATCGCAAAGAAATCCTGGAGTTTAGAAAGAATAATTTGCGTCATTGGAGAAGGTAATTCCAAAAGACGTGTCAGAGCCAGACAACTCAACTTTTGTCTGTCGATGTTGGCCATGCTGTCGAAATGACGGAACCATTCTTCACTTAACCATTTCCAAATATTTTCAAGATTATTGTCGATACTCATGAGGAGATTAGCGAAGACATTTGGATCTGCTAGTGCAATGCGAGCCAGAATGGTAAAGTAATCTGTCTCAACTACGTCATCCAACTTGGGATATTTACGCTCCGGACCAGTAGTTTGATGAGCTTCCCAAGCATCGCGAAGTCCCGAGAATATCTTTTCCGTATAACCAGATTCGTGGAGATCTTTTGTGATTTGTGTAACACCATTGGAACCTCCTAATTTTTCAGCAGCACGAATTAAATCCTCGACGGTTGTCGTGACAAGGCCGGCCAGATCGCGCTTGGTAACTCCTAGTAAGCTGGTCATATACGAGAGAACTCGAAGTCGATTCGCATCACCCAGCATAGCTTCTGGTGCCAATAAAATATATTCGTTCACGATACCAAGAATGACTCGAAGATTATCAGAACCAAGTTCAAGGAGAGGAAATGCGCAATCGATGAGAGCTAGAACTTCGGGAGATGCAGGTGATGATGACTGAGCGAGAATTTGTGCCCACAAGTCAAGAGCTTCTTCCATAAGGTAGACTTGCATTTCTGAACCGGGTTCCACAGCGCGTTGAATTAGAGGTAATATTAGTGAGTGGTATCTTTCAGATTGACCTTGCATACAAGATACAAGAGTAGACATGATTGTTAATATGGCCTGTTTGAGAAGATGTTCTTCGCCAGAAGCTTCCCAAAGACCTGGTAAAATAGAAACAATTTGATCTGCATATGGAGAGACATGAGTTTCTAACCTGATAGCAATCATTCTAATTGTTTCCAATATTACCAATTTTGTTTCCGTGTTCTCAACCTCTTGAATCAAGGCCATAGTGCGACCAAGAATATCAGGAGCATATGGAAGAAAAGGTTCAACGTGAAATTCGAAATCATCGACAATCGCCTTAAATTGACGAGCTGCAGTAATGCGAACGACATGATCATTGGTTTCATCTTCTGATTTAAGTAGGTGTTGAAAGATTTGATATACCAACGGTCTATTAGCTTGTGATATTCTGACAGGAATCCATTGGCCAAGTAGAATAGCAATTCGTCGACGAAGTACCTTCCAGCTTTGACCGGTTTGTTGAACATCATTAACTAGAGTTGAAGTAAGGAAGGTATCGAAGTCAAAGCTTTGATGTATAACAGCAGCAGATAATCCCATGGCAGTATACACAGCATCCTTGGTGACAACGGATTGCCCATTACTACCTGTAACCGATTGGAAGTATTGTAATAGTGGTGCCACTAGAAGATCTTTGAAGTTGATGACGAGGTCCATGAATAATTTTTCCGCACAAGGTCGGACTTCAAATTCCCAAGTATCTCCACCACCTTCTTCACGTATCTCCCATTCATCCTCATCTTCTTCCCAAGCTTCCAAATCAACTTGACGAAAGACGAAGAATTTAGTAACGATAACACTTGCCATTTCGGCTATTAATTGTTCAGAAAGCAATTGCGATTTGAGGAATGCTACAGCTTGTCGCTGTTCTTCTTTGACCTCGGGAGTTCGATATTTGAAGGATTGTGTTGGACTAAATACCATCTTCATACAAGCTCGCAATAGAGTAAGACCTTTTAGACATAGTTTTTCCATGATCGGTCTATCTTGTTTTGATCCATCATCAGTTGCCAACGCTTTGGCACTGAAATCCTGTGTTGCTGAGCCATAAGAATCTCCAAATTTAGAAACAAATCCCCAATATCCTCTTACCAAATCTATAGAATTAGGCAAGAGTGCGAACGCAGCAGGATGTGTATTTGACATTTGGACATGTAGTTTTGCAAATTGTACGAGGTGCTTCTCAGCTAGTTCCTTAGCAGGTGATGCCAAAACTGTGGATTCTTCATTTACTATTGTGAGAAGTTGACCAAACTGTTGTTGCGATTGTTGCCATATTTGTTGAACATCTTTATCATGATTTGGAAATTCATAACCCACAATAAGAAGTCGTCGAAGGATTTTGATCGCAATCAAACTGTTTTCCATAGCATTTATAGAACCTCCTTGATCATCTGAAGAACTCCCAGAAAGTAAACCAAGCCATTGTGAAACCTTTTGTGTATAAATGCCGCTCAACAAGAATACCATCTCCGGCGTGACTGACTGTAAGCTCGTTTGAGATCTCCTTAATCGGGCGGTAGCCAACTCTTTCACAATCTGTAGCAATATCAACATTCCTCTTTGTAGATGAAGTTGGTTTGTTTCGTTTGCAGTTCGCAGCATTCTAATCAAATTCGTAAGGACATCCGGCCAATCCATAGGATAATCCACTCGGACTACTTTCGAAATCACCAAGGCATTTTGTAAAGCAAGTTGAGGATCCGACTCTTCGAATCCACTCTCTAGCAGATGTGATCGAATATTCTCTTTCTCTTCGGCAGTGATAGCATTTGGAGCTGTCTTTCGCCAATATTTATCGATACCATTTTTCAACTGTATGACCGCAAGATATCTTACTTCGGAGGGTAGGGACTTATCGAGATATACTGCCTGAGCAAAGGTATTAGTTGAGGTGCCCAAATGCCAACATTCATGGAGAAAATACCTGCAGTAAAGTATAGTATCCTCTCTGTGTCTTCCAAGCTTCTAGTTGTTGGGTCCCAGTTTGGATAGCTAGCTGTTGAGAGGACCCTGCCGACTGCAAGGCTAGATATACCTGTTGAGGATTTAGAGGAGCTGCCTCACCAGGAACTTCGATCGCAAACGCCATAACGAAAAGATTTAAACTTTCACAAGATGTCCAAGTAGGTATGCAACGATCTTCAAGAGACGAAAGAAAGTTGTGGTGTAGTATTGAAACTGCGCCCCACCACGAGCTGTTTTTCTTGAGGGTCTCTATTACACCGTAAGGTTAACTTTTTGTTCGAGCTTCTTTTTTTGAGTGACACTTCACTTCAGCCTCGTCAGTGTCAAAGCTCCACCAGGATTCACCAAACATGAGATGCTATCTATTATTCTCAACGTGACCTCGGGAAGCAATGATTGTACGATATTGATATTCGAGTTTCATATTGAATTATCGTTACTCATCTCATGTGTTTGTATCAAAATCATCCAAATTATGTTCGATTTTTTGAGGTTCGGATTTGGCACCCATATCATCATCCTAGAACATCTTTTGGACCCCAATACGAGTTCCCCTCACCTCCCATTGCTTATGACGATATTATACATGAATACCTAGGGTATCATCAGGTTACATTTTATCCAAGACCAGAAGAGGGAATGAAACGATTGTGAGGCCCTGGCAACATCAACAAGATTAAATCACGTATCAGTATCTTCATAATTTCCTACCATGACATCTCTTCCTTCAACTTACAAAGCTCTACGCTTCAGCTCCCTTGCGGGTCCTCTTACCATTGAGGAGCAAGATATCTCATCACTTCAAACTCCGAAAACTCTCGTGATAAAAGTTCATTGTGCGTCTATAAATCCTGTTGATACACAATTATGGCGTGCAGGCATAGTATCCGTAGTCTCTGGCTCAAAAGGCATGGGTCGTGATTTCTCCGGCACCATTGTAGCCATTGGAGATCAGGTGAAAGGGAATTGGTCTATTGGAGATGAAGTCTTTGGGTTGTTATTTCAAGTTGTATGTTTGTTCATCTGCTGATATTTCGGGGGGGGGGGGGGCTTGGGTGTATTACTGACAGGAATAGTTCGGCCAAGGAACTTTCAGTCAATACATTGCTGTTAATCCAGCTTCAGACCCAGTGGTCAAAAAACCTAATTGTCTATCTCATGAAGCCGCTGCATCGATTCCTCTCGTTGCATTAACCATGTTTGCGGCTTTGGATTGGCTTCCCGCAACTAGAGGTAATTCGCAGAGAAAAGTGATTGTACGAGGAGCATCAGGAGGATGTGGTTCATGGGCTGTTCAATGTGAGTTCCTCTCTACTCATTACTAAAATATTTGACATGTTATAAAATAACATTAACACATCTCCAAGTGGCCAAAAATCTCTACGATTGTCACGTCACAGCCATCTGCTCCTCTAAAAATATCGAGTATGTCAAAAGTCTAGGAGCAGATGAAATAATAGATTACACCTCCGAACCAGTTCTTGAAACACTAATCAACAGCAAGAATACTTCAACAGAATACGATCTACTGATAGATTGCGTGGGAGGAACAGACCTCATACCCTCCTACGTGCGTCCTTCCCCCTTTCCCCAGATCTCAAACTCCCTCCTACCCCCTAATACCTAACATCCACACAGCAAACTCTCCTCCACCCCCACGGCGCCTACACAACCATCGTCGGCGACAAAACCGACGTTAAAGGTCTCGGCGGACCCGTGACATACTTCAAAAATCCCATCCAAATCTGGCGTTACATATCCGGTTTCATATGGGGTCCTCGTTATGCCGTGATATCTCTCCATACCAAATCCGAGTATCTGGAAAAGATAGTTGGATTGGCTGAGAGAGGGGAGGTGAAAATCGAGATTCAGGAGGTGGTTAAGGATGCGTTGAATGAGGAGACGGAGGGATGGAAGAAAGCCATTGAGATTATTGAGAGTGCAAGGGTTAGAGGAAAGGTTGTTCTGGAGATCTTGTGATGTGGAGGAATGATTGTGAATTATTTGATGATGATCTACTAATTGACCCTAATAACATAGCTTTCAGTCCAGGAATTGGATCTAATCTTTGGTCCCAACTGAGACGAATCCCATTTATAAATTCTGTTAATCGCCCAGACTTAGAATGTATAACTTCAACATGGGAATCTATACGTGCAGTATGATAACCGAATACATTCTGTTTGTTGATGTAGTTGAGCTATCCAAGTTTTGTATAAAAAATCTAAGCATATGAATGCACATTTGAATTGGATAACTCAGCTACAATCTTCTACCTCTTCTTTCACTTCAATCAAGCCATATCTTTCTTTTCTTCTTTGCACAATCCAAGACCCCAATTCTCCCCATATCTTCTCCTTTTCCGCAGGCGACAACGATGCTGCCAGTCCAGATGTACTAGATGCCACAAAAAGCCTAGCTCCTCTCCATGAATCTTCACCCTTTATAACTCCCAAATTCTCTTCTTCCAATTGCCACCCGTATCTGAACTCATCCTTTGCCATAGCCCTTCCCTTCTTGACTCTCCACACACTCTCCCAAATACCCTTCCCAACCAATGCTACAACTTCCGGTCTATAAACTCTAATCTTCTCTTCCAACAAACTCACTCCCTCATCCATTTCTTTTTTTGACAACTCCCCTCCATTCCTTGTAGGTCTTTCCACAATATTTGTATTTCCCAAAGAATATAACTCTGGTAGTTTTACATCATCCTCCGCCTTCAAAAGTCGAGTGGTACAACCTGATGAATAGAGTATTTTCCAGAAACGATTGGAAGGATGTGCATAGGCGTGGCCAACTTGAGCGGTCAATAAACCTGGGTTGAGACCTACGAAAAGACACAGAAGATTAGGTGCTATGACATCGGGGAGAAACGAGAGATGCGCGTAGTGGGATGGAGGTTTGTAGCCTCCGCCAGCGCGGGAACGACGTTTTTTGGCTGGAGAGGGTTTGCTTGATGGTGTAGCGGAAATTGACTCGAGCCTTCGTTTTAGGGGAGAAGGGGTTGCGTTTGCATACTTAGGAACTTCGACGGGGCGCATTGTAGGTGATTGCCTCTTTCGAACACTTGTTGGTATAGGCGAAGTCATAGGGGAGGGCGTACAATCGCCACGCAGCTCCATTTTAATGAGTCGATCGTGCTGCTCACTCATTCCTTCAGGGGAATTCCGCCCAGCTTCATTACATGACATTCCATCTTTATGATTCCTATGTTCATGCGTTCCTTGCTCGGGCGATTTGCAATTCCAAGCTTCCAACCGGTTGCTTTCGAATTCTGATCGAAAACCTGCCGTGACATCGGGAGCGTCTGTACAGAATTCCTGCTGTAGAGGAGAAAGAGATGATTGTGAGGTTGATGATTTTGACAGAAGATCCCGGGGAGTTATTCGGGGATTCTGTCGGCGAGGGCGTGGAGGTGGATTTGGGGAGTATGTGAATGAGGAGAGATTCAATTTGCCTTGAAAGCTTGGTGCTGTTATGTTAGGTGCAGCATCTGCTTCTATCTCTGCCTTTTTGAAGTATTTGGAGTTCACTTGTTTACCCATATTTTTGGGCAATGGATATGATGTTAGGGTTGTGATGAGTATTCGAATAGATGTACAAAATAAATCTGCCGGGTCAGCATTTTAAGTAGAGAATAGCAATGACGTCTGTTGAAACGACGAATTCTCCAGAAGAGTTATTACCATAATTGCGACACAAATAGAAGTAACATGAAAATACTCGTAATTGTTGCGTGCATAGCTTTTTAATATCCTCAACATACCGACAATGCATGGAGAAAAATCCAAATGCGTCGTGTCGTTTACAGAAGAAAGAAAAGAAACGATACCCAATTAATATAAATAGAATGGTAAGTTGTTCTAGCGACCCTCATTATTTACTTATTCATACATGACGGTGAGTGGATGGTGGGGCTGGGCTGTGCGGTGCCTTCCCTCAATAAGACACATGGAAACAAAAAGTTATATAAATTCCATTTCCCCTGATTTATTTGATTCTTTAATTTCTCAATTTCCAAATCCTTCATCCCCTATACATTACGATACCATTCTTTACATAACACGAAATCATGGAATCCGTTCAGAAAGTACTCGATACATTGCACATTGGAGGCAAGACACAAGCTGCCCCTCCTAAAGAGCCCAGCTCCACCGAGCTTGAACAGCTCAAGGAGAAGTACACCAAAGCAAAGCAAGATCAGGTTTTTGCATTTTACGATACCCTCGAAGTTGCAGAGAAAGCTGCTCTCTATGAACAACTTTCCAATTTCGATCCTGAATACATCAACAAAATCACCGATGCAGCTCTCAACCCACCCAAGACCCAAGATGCCGACAAAGAAACTGGTCTCGAACCACTCCCTGAATCTGCGACTGCCAGTATTCTCGATTCAAAAGCTGAAGATATTGAGAAGTGGTATGAAACGGGTTTGGATTTGATAGCTGAGAATAAGGTTGCAGTGGTACTTATGGCTGGTGGCCAAGGAACCCGTTTGGGAAGTTCAGCTCCAAAGGGCTGCTTCAATATTGGTCTACCTTCCGAAAAATCTCTTTTCCAAATACAGGCAGAACGTATTCGCAGAGTTCAGAGATTGGCACATAAGAAGGCTGGTTATGCAGCGGATAAAAAGGTGGTTGTTCCATGGTATGTGATGACCAGTGGACCAACTCGAGGACCTACTGCAGACTACTTTGAGGAAAACAAATACTTTGGTTTGGAAAAGGAGAATGTTATTATCTTCGAACAAGGTGTTCTCCCTTGTATTTCGAATGATGGTAAAATTCTTTTGGAGAGTAAGGGTAAGGTTGCTGTTGCACCAGATGGAAACGGTGGTATCTATCAAGCCATCGTCACATCAAATGTTATGTCTGACATGACAAACCGGGGTATTCAACACATTCACGCTTACTGCGTAGACAACTGTCTCGTCAAGGTAGCAGATCCAGTGTTCATTGGATTTTCAGCTTCTAAAGATGTCGATATTGCTACAAAGGTTGTACGAAAGAGAGATGCTACCGAATCTGTTGGTCTGATCCTTCTCAAGAATGGCAAGCCAGATGTTGTTGAATATTCTGAAATCGACAAGGAGACCGCTGAAGCTAAAGATGCCAAGCAACCAGATGTCTTGAAGTTCAGAGCAGCAAACATTGTTAACCACTATTACTCTTTCCGATTTCTTGAGTCGATCCCTCAATGGGCTCACAAGTTACCTCACCATGTTGCAAGAAAGAAGATTCCTTATGTGGATACTGAGAAGGGTACAACTGTCAAACCTGAGAAGCCAAACGGTATCAAACTTGAGCAATTTGTTTTCGATGTTTTCCCAATGTTGGAACTCAACAAGTTTGCCTGTATGGAAGTCAAACGTGAGGATGAGTTCTCACCACTGAAGAACGCGAGGGGTACTGGTGAAGATGATCCAGATACTAGTAAGAAACATATCATGGATCAAGGAAAACGATGGGTACAAGCTGCAGGTGCTACTGTTGTCGGTGAGAGCACCGATGATGGTATCGAAGTTTCTCCATTGATCAGTTACGTAAGTCAACCACTCACTTGTCCCATGCCGCTCGGTTCAGTTAAGCTAACATGTCTACAGGGTGGAGAAGGATTGGAGAAGTTGAAGGGTCAGACCATCACTGCCCCAGCTGTTTTGGAGAAGGAGCTGTCATGATGCCTTAAAAGGGCTAATCAGATGAACAATTTAGGAAGTTTTTGGTTTGGCTATAAGCTCTGATAGCAATATTATCATTCAATACAAGCGAGACATTTCGAAGCAAAGTGGATAAGTAAAAGCACTAATACAAGATATCAATAACACCAGAATATCTACCGTGATTTTGGTGACTGTTCAATACTTCCCATATCCATATCCGAGGAGAACATTAAATCTGCGATCTCAGCCCCTGAGGTGAGAATCAGCTAAGACTTTTAGAACAAAGAAATACTTCTAGTGTGTATCCTAAGCCTCCATTGCTGAACTAAGAGGATAATAAGCCTTGCTCCATGACAATAATTTGCCTCCACATATCTTTTGAAGGGGTTCTAGAAGATTTCTACCAGTAGTCTAGTGGTCATGCATTCATCAACAACCGGCAAGCGTGAGCGTGGAAAAACTACCGGTTATACTCTAACAACAGTCCAGATGATCAACCCCGCCATTATTATTGGTAATGAGTGGCTAAAGAGATCGGATCTATCCATCCGTCACTCCTCTCCACATCACGTGTTGAAATTCCACGATGTACCGTATGTGCGGATGCTGGGAAGAGAAGTGCATGATGTGGAGATGGAAAACTGGGAAAAAGTGGTGGAGGCATCGTGCTACTGGATATGCTTAAATTTCCTCCGTCTTATCCGTAGATTAGAGTACATAGAGTATCTTACTTTTATCTTACATCACTTTCCTGAGCAAAAATCAGAGGGAAATGAATGAATATGTGGATGGGTGTGAAAACTGGTTTTACTTACATATCTCAGTATTCGAGATTATGGTTGAGTACCGTAGGTATTCGTATTCTATCCAGCTATCTATCGATCAATCGTGATGGGAAGGGAAGGGAAGGGATGGGAAACAATTGATGGTTAAAGTTATGATATATATGATTTGTTAGTTCGTGCTATTCTTCATCTACATCTCATCGTCGTCTTTGCGGTCCGATATACTCTTAGAAAAACATAAAGTAAGAACCTTAGCCCGATAATAACAATCAAAAACCCAAATGACATCTGCCAAGCCACCTCGTGGCAGTGCCAAGCAGCGCGCCCAAAGATCTGAAATCCATTCCCAAGAGAGGTGTGAAGTGTGAATGTGACGGAGGAGAAACTACCTAATTAATAAGTGATGAGGCGAATCATGAGACGAATCTTGGCTGTGCTCCGGATCAGAATCGGGAAGCCGCTCTTTCGCGGTGGTCATTAGTCGGAGAAAGGATAAGTAAGTACTTACTACCTAATAGGTAAATTCGGAGAATACCTAGTAGTCATCAATGATGTAGGGAGAGTAGAGTACCGGTATATATGGAGTGACTTTGCCCCGGACGGGATTCGCTTGATCTTTTTCTAGCTGTTGCAAGTGAAGTTCGCAAGTGAAGTTTGCAAACACATCGACATCACAATTCATCCACGGTGAAACAAAGCGCATTTTGGGAAACTTTTAAAGTTTGGGTCGCATACCGATTTTTTATCTGTGTATTTGGTGTTTACATCTACATCAATATTATCCAACACATTTTATTCAACGGGGGAGAATAATATTTCAACTACTTCTTTCTTTCTTTTATCCTTCACGCATCGCATTACGATATAATAGATCTCTTCATCAATCAATCATCACAAGAAACACAGTAATAAACATCCTCACCTAACCAACCATGAGGACGGATCTCTGGACCGTAGCACTGCTACTCTTCTCCTCCACTCCCTCATTTGCGCATCCGCAATACATTCCCTCTGCAGAATTGATCACACGCGATGCAAACGCACAGCCTGTAGTCGAAGCCGAGGAATTCACATACTATTCGCGCGAGGAGAAACGGGGTGGCGATTTATTCAAACGTAAGGGTGGAGGAGGCGGTGGCGGTAAGGGAGGAGGTGGAAGTTCGAGCGGTGGCAGTAGTAGTAGTGGAAGTAGTGGAAGCAGTGGAAGCAGTTCTTCAAGGTATGTTTATGGAAATTTTCTTCTTTCCGATTCTGAGATCTATGGAATGGATGCTGTGAGGTGAAGTGATGCGAAAGAATCTTGAGGAGGGGAATTGAGGGACCATCTCGGCTGTTGGGGGTAAAGCACCGAGATTCGGTTTTTGGGCGGAATGTACTGGATTGAGTTCAAAAGAACCAAGCTCTAACATGATAATAAATAGTTCTGGTTCTTCGTCCGGGAAAGGAGGTGTCACATCCTCTTCCTCTTCGTCGGGTGGTGCTACGAAAGCTGGCTCGGGTCCCGCTCCTGCTTATGGTGGGGGGGAGATATGTATGTACCTTTCCCAAAGATTCAAGTATTGATTACTAACCGACAAACAGTATGGCGGAGGAGCAACAACACCATATTCCTCAGGAGCTCGTTCACCTCTCGGAATCGCCCCTGTCTTCCTCGGTTTGGGTGCCCTATCCATCTTCCCCGGTCTCTGGCTCTACGGTGCCTACAGCTATCCATACCACAACCCCTATTCCTTCCGCAACCACTCCGCTACCCGCAACGGCACCAATACTACATCTGCCTCTATCGAAACCCGTCAAGATTCAGACACCACGGGTGTCAACGAGACAAAACCAGTCACATGTCTCTGTGCTGCATACAGCGAATGCGGATGCGACGACAGTGGAAACTCGACATTCCTGGATCAGATAATCGGAGATGGAAGCTACGCGGCGTTGAACAAGTCGCTGGTTAATGTCGCGGAGGTTAATGGTACATCGACGATTCTCATCAATGGTACGTTGCCTAATGGAACGACTGCGAGTGGCGGGTCGGATTCAGCGGCTGGGAGGACGATAGTAGAGGGTTTGGGATGGTGGGTTATGGTTGCGACGGTTTTCGCTACTTGTTTTGCTATTTGATTTTCTTTCTGAAGATTTGGGGAATCAGAAAAAAGAAAATTAAGGAACAAGTCAAGATAACCTAGGAATTGCGTTCCCAGTACACTTGCAAGCAAAGCAGTTCAGAGAAGACACGGAATTTCATTGTATATTTTCAACACGAACATGGGCGGTATCATTATTCTTTTCTGGCGTCTCAAAAACGATGGGAAGGGAATGGAATGGAATGAAATAAATTGGGAGGATACGAGATGAATTTATACCCCGATACGTTTGTATTATTAGTACTTATGAGATAATGGCGGTTTGGGGGTATATTGATGGATGGATGAGGGATAAATATATCCCTCAATAGAATATAATACGAGGGCGGGTAAAGTGAGCAAGGCAGTAAATGCTAAGATAGGCAATGGTCTTCAGATAATACAAATTGTGCGTTTTATTTCTCGATCTTATGGCGTGAGCGAAAAATAAATGAATGAATGTTTCGAGTGAGGTATATGTATCTAGATAGTGGAAGTATGGTATGGACGCTTCGTTTGAAGTTCAGCAACTCCTTCATAGTTCGGTTAAATAATCGGACAGAAAATGAGGTTCTAATTAAATATCGTCTTGCCAGTGTTCCTTTTCGTGAGAATTTTATATTCTATAAGTACATTTTATTCTATCTATTTCGTTTTATTTGATCCCATCCTATTCTACATTATACCCCTCATGTCGATGCAAAACTCCTCGCTTTACGTCGTCGTATCAATTCTCCCAACGGTATCTCATCTTCATCCACAATATTCGCTTCTTCATCCACCCCATAATCTCTCAATCTATCACCTTCCGAATTTGTCCAGCCTTCTTCTCCGTCGAGTCCCTCTTCATATTCTTCACTTTCGTCTTCGACCTCCTCCTCTTCGTCATCTTCTTCATAGTACCCATCTCCTTTGTTGATAGTACCTCCTATATCATCTTTCTTCCAACGTTTCAAATCCGCTTCTTGACGCTGTCTAAATGCATCTCGTTCTTCTTCTATACTCCCATAGACTTTCTCTTCCATCGGGATCGTTTCCACACCCACACATCCCGCTCTCCTTCCCAACTTGTCCGGATCCGGAGGCGGCCACATACCCACCCTATCATTAAATCCATTCTCCTCCCAAGTCCCCGCGCTCTCTACACTTGGTCCCCCTGCAAGTGGATTAAACCATACAAGTATATTCGCACTCCCCATCGCTTGCACAATATTCTCCCAAATACCTATATCAAAGGGGAATTCTACTTTGTGCACTCTGACTCTGCGTCCTCCATTCGCATACACATAGCCGCGCATATTTTTCGATTTCGAGCGCTCGATCACCGCATCGTGGCGTTCGATTTCCCAGGCTTCGATCATGTAGATGTTTGTTGCGAGAGAGTAGACGGTGCGCAGAAAGAGGAGGGACATGGCGAAGAGGGAGAGCCCGGCGGAACAGGTGATTATGAAGAGGAGGGTGAGGGAGGTGGTTGAGGGGCCTAGGTAGGAAGGGAGGGTACTTTCGGAAATGACGTAGCTGATGCGGATGCAGAGGAAGAAGGCGAGGATGAGGAGGGAAAATACGGCGTAGAAGAGGAAGCGGACGAAATGGGGGAAGGTAATGTGGGAGACGCAGTTGTTGGTCCAGGGACAGTGGTGGTCCATTTTGGAATGCAGCTAGAGGGTGTTAATTATGATACTTATCCGGAGTTGGATTTTAGAAAGGTAGAATCAGAGAGAGGGAGATATACCGTTTACATTGTTTACAATGATGTGCTCTAGGCGGCTTCACCGCATCACATTTCTTACACCATCTCACATTTTCCCACTCTATCTTTTCTAAACCTTCACCTTCTCCAATCGCCTTCTCATCCCTCCCGTCCTTCTCCGTTTCCTTCTCAATCTCACTCGCAACTCTATCAGCCCAGCCCCTTTCCCCCGGATCAACAGAACAAGTCTTCCAATAACACCATATCATAGCCCACGCACTTGCATTGAAAATCACCGTTTCTCCGGTACTCAGAGACCCGGGCTCGAGAAAATAGAATAGTATCTGGGATCCATAAACGAGAAACGTCATGTGGAAGTAACAAAATGGTTGTGCGAGATCGCTTATCTTATTAATTCGACATTTGGATAGCAGGGAAAGACGCGTTTGCGTCATGGTGAAATGTGGTGTTTACATTAACTGATTTGCTTGTGTTGATGAATAGGTATTGATATTGATACCGAACCTTGAAGCTTTGTAAGAAACATCGGAAAGGGACCCCTAAATTCGTGCATGTGCGTACCTACTAGGTACATAGGTAGCCTACAGCCTCGCACCCTCGTACGAACCACCTAAGCTCGGACACCTCAGCACATCCAAGCCCGAGATTAGGTAATAACGACAGGATGGAACGGACTCTTCATACCTATGCGTCATTGGTCAGCTCGTTAAACATATCACGTGTAGCAGGGTAGTTACACGACACAGCGAAGACTAGCGGGAAATTCGAGGGGTTGCAAATCTGAGAAATCCATGAGATTATGTCTCCACGTACAGAAGAGGAAACCGAGATATCCTTTCCCGCTCGAACAAGCTTTGTAGACATGGTGCAAGTGCATTTTTTGTTGCTGGGGTTGGAGTTTAATGTGGGCTCTAGAGCGAAGGTCATTGTTGGGAGCTGGAACGAAGCAATTGATAGATTGATGGTTTGCTGATAGGCTGAAATGGAGTTGAAACGGAGTGATGTGGTTGGTACGGACGTAGTTTTTTTGGTCTCCCTTGGGATTGCGATTAGAAATGTCTACCATTCGAGAATTTGCTAAGATTCTAGAAGTTAGTTTCTTTTTTCTTGAGATCTAGGTTGCATGACTAGATGTTTATATAGAAATGCTTGTCCCGCATCTGTATTTTGAATTATGCCATACTCTGTATAAATCAAGGCAGCTTTATAATGTCTTAGCAAAGTTTTCCCTGTCTATACGTTCTTGCATTACTTGAACATTCATCTTTCGCTACTACATTAATCTTCTCGTGTACCCTTCGCATCGCATTTGGTATCTCCAACCATGGTTGAATCCACGAACACTCCGGACTTGGAGACCCCCACAATCTTACCAGCAAGATCTCCCAATACCAGTGCTTCAGATCTTCCTGTCAGTATTCAGGAGAAGCCTGCCGCCGCAGATGTCGTCGTCGAAGCAAAAATCGAATTCGAACCAAGCACAACCTTCATCCTTGCTTTCTCCTCCATATGTCTCATCACTCTCGCCGCCGCACTTGATGCCACCTCTCTCAGTATCGCCCTGCCAATCATCACCGCGAAACTAAAAGGATCAGCTATTGAAGCCTTCTGGTCTGGCACATCGTTTTTACTCACTTCTGCGGTATCTCAGCCTGTTATCGCGGGGTTAAGCCATGTTTTTGGCAGAAAGGAATTATTACTTGGTTCGGCTGTATTATTTGGTATCGGTAGTATCTTGGCGGCTGTGGCAAATAATTTTACTTTGATGTATGTGTTGTCTCAAACTGGGCTGGGGAATATTTGCTAATGGTGAAACTTTAACAGGCTGGTGGGCAGAAGTGTTCAAGGCATTGGAGGAGGAGGAATCTTGTCTCTGGGTGAGATTCTCGTCACAGATTTGGTTCCTCTTTCTGTTAGAGGTGCTTATTTTGGTTATATAGGTATGAGTTCTTTCTTGACATGAGATAGTATATCAACTGACTGTAGAAATAGGAAGTATTTGGGCTATCGGAAGTGTTGGTGGTCCATTGATGGGTGGTGGTAAGTTTTCTTCCATCCTCTTACGCACACTCGTCTAACTTCTTCCTCTAGCTTTCGCAGAAAATGTCTCTTGGAGATGGATCTTCTGGATCAATATCCCCATCATTGTATCCGGAGCAATCGCAATCATTCTATTCCTGAAAATTAAACGTACGCCAGGAAATCTATTAGCCAAAGTCAAAAGATTCGATTGGTTTGGTTCCGTCATCTTTATTTCTTCAACAATATCTTTCTTGATTCCTATCACATGGGGTATGAATATCCATTCCAACCTATAACCTACATCGCTAACAAGACTAGGCGGTGTAATGTACGCTTGGGATTCGTGGAGAGTACTCTTCCCTCTCTTAATTGGCGTCGTAGGTTTAATTGGTTTCTCCTTTTATGAAAAAAGACTCTCCGATCGTGCATTCGATTCCGAAGGCGAGCTCCTCCCGGGAGATAATATCGAGCCCATAATCCGTTTCAGTATCTTCGGTACATGGTCAGCGATTATCATATACTTTCAAACAATGATGCACGGAATGGTTCTTTGGTCTTTGTTGTATTATCTTCCCTTGTATTATGAGGCTGTTCAAGGATACACACCCATCATCTCTGGTGTAGCCATCTTACCCGAGACTAGTTTCGTTGCTGTAAGTCATACAAGTCCTTTTCTTACAGCTCCCCAAACTTACTAACGCATCCCCAGCCCATGTCAATAGTAGTCGGTGTCCTTGCTGCCAAAATAGGTCGCTACAGATGGGCACTCTGGTCCGGTTGGTCTCTCGCAACTTTCGGTTCAGGACTCCTCTATCTCCTCAAGCCATCAACTTCAATTGTGCAATGGGTATTCCTCAATGTTCCCATCGCAATCGGTACGGGAATGTTATTCCCATCCATGTCACTTGGGAATCAAGCCTCTTCCCGTCCTCAAGATGCAGGCCACGCAGCTGCTTTCTTCACGTTTGATCGTGTGTTCGGTCAATCGATTGGTGTTGCCGTCGGGGGTGTTGTGTTTCAAAATCAAATCAAGGAGAAACTTCTCGCCTATCCACTTCTTGCTAGCATGGCAACAGAATACAGTAAAGATGCAACGGCATTGGTGAAATTGATTCAGAATATGGACGAAGGATTGGAAAAGACTCAGCTGAAGGAGGCGTACGCGGGTAGTTTAAAAATGATTTGGATTGTCATGTGTGCATTGTCTGGAGCGGCGCTGGTGTCGAGTTTCTTTGTCAGAGGATATAGTTTGGAGGTGGAGCATAAGACGTTGCAGGGGTTGAAGGAGGAGAAGAAGGGGGATATGGAGGCGGTGGGGGAGAAATAAAGGCGTGTTTGGGTTTATGATTTAATGATTTTAGATTTATGCTTTTTATTTTCGTGAAGGGTCTTGTTACGATATGACAGACGTGGGACAGCATTTGGGTTTTATACAGTATAGGTTGGACGGATAGAAGATGATAAGGAGCGGGGATATGGTCCCTCCTTTTCACGAGACTACTCAGACTTTGTAGTAGAATAATATTAATCTCATTTTTCTCATGATTCAAAATATCAACGTGAGTAAAGTCTCAATATTTGTTGTGATGAGTAGGCGCATGATAATTACAGCACTCATCCTAACTCAAAATGTCAGACAGGATTATCGAAGTCCTCCACATGCAGATTGGAGTGATATTCATTGCCGCTGCTTGAGTGTATAACGTGTATCTTGAAAATATTAGAATCGTTCTTGTTGTGGGCCAGTCACTGGGATTAAATAAGCCAGGTCTTTATCCCTAGATGAAACTCTGATTCCACACCACCATAATGTCTCATCACCAACATCTCGATATCACATTCAAGTCACACTTATTAATAATTACCATTATGTAGTCCAAAAACTCAATTTGAACATTCAAGCTGAAAGTCGTGACACAGCATATCCCAAGAATTAAATTAAGCCAATCAAGCGAACTTCTGTGTTCCACATCAATAGGGGTTTCAGCTACCCCACCACGAAACGTCATCATCTGCATGATTCCCCTCCTTGAAATTCAGCGCTGCTGATCCAGATTTCAGGGTTAAAAAATATAACAAGCTCCTCTGCGTACCTACTTTAACGATTTGTTTCTGTTATTATAATATTGTACACAAAAGACCACTCTTCCTTTTGACACTTCGCAAGAAATTCTATTACGAACCTCAAATAGTAAGTTCCAATCCAGAGGCATTATCAGGATGTTGTCTTTCGGCGAAAGCTTTTACGGAGCTCCAACATTACCCCGCACAAGCCACCTCAACAAAACAAATACATCTTCTCTTCTTAAGTTGTTGACTGACAGAATTGCATTTATAGCATTTCCCAAACAAACCCAAACTCAAATCAAACAATAGCAATCATGTCTGGCTACGGAAACGAAGGCTACGGTGGTCAACAAGGCGGAGGATATGGAGGTGAAGGTAAGAATCACAGTCTTGAATATGGGGAGCGGGCTTGAGGACGGAATACGCTGACTCAGATCTGTAGAGAGAAGAGAACATGGCCGCAGAGATGAGGAGGGCTATGGTGGACAGCAGGGTGGTGGATACGGCGGAGAGGGAAGACAAGGCGGCGGATATGGCAGTGAAGGTATGTTTTCCGATATCCATTCCTTTGCTACTCTATATGCAAAATACAAGCTTACCAATTTTCACAGAAAGAAGAGAAGGCCACCATGGCGGAGCAGGCGGTCCCGGAGGAGCATTCGGTGGCGGAAACTTTAACGAAGACCGTCGCCAAGGAGGTGGAGAAGCCCAAAGCTATTACGGAGGTGGTGGACAAGGAGGACAAGAAGAAATCCGTCACGGCGGTCGCGATGAGAGATATGGAGGAAGTGGAAACAACCCATATGGAGGCGGTGGAGGATATGGTGCCGATGATGAGGATTTGAAGGGCGCAGCTCATCATGCTCAAGAACATGCCGGTGATTCTGGTGATTCTAGCTTGTTCTCGAGCGTCTTGGGTTACTTGGGCCAGAACAAACAAAATATCGGTAATCAGGATGTCGATGAAGAAGGTATGTCATTTCAACTACACTATTATTGTCTAATCCAAAAAATCATACTAACAACATAAAAATAGAAGCTGTAAACTCCCACAAACAATTCTATGGCGGTGGCGGCTCTTCCGGCGGTTCTTCGGCATCTTCATCTAGTATGGGTAGTGCCGCCGCAATGCAAGCACTCAAGATGTTCAACGGTGGCTCATCTGGAAACTCATCGTCCGGAAACTCTCAGAACGCTTTCGTTGGAATGGCAATGGCACAAGCCAGTAAATTATTCGATCAACAAAGCAGTCAAGGAAATG